AAACAGAAATGGGTTTCTCAGCTGTGAAGATAATTTTGGTTGATTGCGTCTGTTTGGTTTTTTATTTTTTCATTTTTGTGACGACCTCGTCACAAAATGACATAAAGAAACTGTGGCGTTATGTGTTTTCGGCCGTTTTTAACATATTCGAAAAAAAAACTTGTCACAAAATGTAGCAGAGTAAATTTGACGGTAGATTTAATTTTTTTTATAATGAATTTAGTCTAAGTTAATCTGAAAAACAGAAATGTGTTTCTCAGCTTTGAAGATAATTTTGGTTGATTGCGTCTGTTTGATTTTTTCTTTTTTCATCTTTGTGACGACCTCGTCACAAAATGACATAAAGAAAATGTGGCGTTATGTGTTTTCGGCCGTTTTTAACATATTCGAAAAAAAAACTTGTCACAAAATGTAGCAGAGTAAATTTGACGGTAGATTTAATTTTTTTATAATGAATTTAGTCTAAGTTAATCTGAAAAACAGAAATGTGTTTCTCAGCTTTGAAGATAATTTTGGTTGATTGCGTCTGTTTGATTTTTTCTTTTTTCATCTTTGTGACGACCTCGTCACAAAATCACATAAAGAAACTGTGGCGTTATGTGTTTTCGGCCGTTTTTAACAGATTCGAAAAAAAACTTGTCACGAATTGTAGCAGAATAAATTTGACGGTAGATTTAGTTTTTTTAATGAATTTAGTCTCAGTTAATCTGAAAAAAAGAAATATGTTTCTCAGCTTTGAAGATAATTTTGGTTGATTGCGTCTGTTTGATTTTTTCTTTTTTCATCTTCGTGACGACCTCGTCACAAAATGACATCAAAAAAAATGTGGCGTTATGTGTTTTCGGCAGTTTTTAACAAATTCGAAAAAAAAACTCGTCGCAAAATGTAGCAGAGTAAATTTGACGGTAGATTTAGTTTTTTTAATGAATTTAGTCTAAATTAATCTGAAAAACAGAATTGAGTTTCTCAGCTTTGAAGATAATTTTGGTTGATTGCGTCTGTTTAATTTTTTCTTTTTTCATCTTTGTGACGACCTCGTCACAAAATGACATAAAGAAACTGTGGCGTTTTGTTTTTGGCCGTTTTCAATAAATTCGAAAAAAAATTTGTCACAAAATGTAGCAGAGTAAATTTGACGGTGGATTCAGTTTTTTAAATTGAGTTTATTCTAAGTTAGTCTGATAAACAGAAATGGGTTTCTCAGCTGTGAAGATAATTTTGGTTGATTGCGTCTGTTTGGTTTTTTCTGTTTTCATCTTTGTGACGACCTCGTCACAAAATGACATAAGGAAACTGTGGCGTTATGTGTTTTCGGCAGTTTTTAAAAAACTCGAAAGAAAACTCGTCGCAAAATGTAGCAGAGTAAATTTAACGGTAGATTTAATTTTTTTTTAATGAATTTAGTCTAATCTAATCTGAAAAACAGAAATGTGTTTCTCAGCTTTGAAGATAATTTTGGTTGATTGCGTCTGTTTGATTTTTTCTTTTTTCATCTTTGTGACGACCTCGTCACAAAATGACATAAAAAAACTGTGGCGTTATGTGTTTTTGGCAGTTTTTAACAAATTCGAAAAAATTCGTCGCAAAATGTAGCAGAGTAAGTTTGACGGTAGATTTAGTTTTTTTAATGAATTTAGTCTAAGTTAATCTGAAAAACAGAAAGTGTTTCTCAGCTTTGAAGATAATTTTGGTTGATTGCAACTGTTTGATTTTTTCTTTTTCCATCTTTGTGACGACCTCGTCACAAAATGACATAAAGAAACTGTGGCGTTTTGTTTTTGGCCGTTTTCAATAAGTTCGAAAAAAAAACTCGTCACAAAATGTAGCAGAGTAAATTTGACGGTGGATTTAGTTTTTCAATTGAGTTTATTCTAAGTTAGTATGATAAACAGTAATGGGTTTCTCAGCTTTGAAGATAATTTTGATTGATTGCGTCTGTTTGGTTTTTTCTTTTTTCATCTTTGTGACGACCTCGTCACAAAATGACATAAAGAAACTGTGGCGTTATGTGTTTTCGGCAGTTTTTAAACAATTCGAAAGAAAACTCGTCGCCAAATGTAGCAGAGTAAATTTGACGGTAGATTTAGTTTTTTTAATGAATTTAGTCTAAGTTAATCTGAAAAACAGAAATGTGTTTCTCAGCTTTGAAGATAATTTTGGTTGATTGCGTCTGTTCGATTTTTTCTTTTTTCATCTTTGTGACGACCTCGTCACAAAATGACATAAAGAAACTGTGGCGTTATGTGTTTTCGGCCGTTTTTAACAGATTCGAAAAAAAACTCGTCACAAAATGTAGCAGAGTAAATTTGACGGTAGATTTAGTTTTTTTAAATGAATTTAGTCTAAGTTAATCTGAAAAACAGAAATGTGTTTCTCAGCTGTGAAGATAATTTTGGTTGATTGCGTCTGTTTGGTTTTTTCTTTTTTCATCTTTGTGACGACCTCGTCACAAAATGACATAAGGAAACTGTGGCGTTATGTGTTTTCGGCAGTTTTTAAAAAACTCGAAAGAAAACTTGTCGCAAAATGTAGCAGAGTAAATTTAACGGTAGATTTAATTTTTTTTTAATGAATTTAGTCTAATCTAATCTGAAAAACAGAAATGTGTTTCTCAGCTTTGAAGATAATTTTGGTTGATTGCGTCTTTTTGATTTTTTCTTTTTTTATCTTTGTGACGACCTCGTCACAAAATGACATAAAGAAACTGTGGCGTTATGTGTTTTTGGCAGTTTTTAACAAATTCGAAAAAATTCGTCGCAAAATGTAGCAGAGTAAGTTTGACGGTAGATTTAGTTTTTTTAATGAATTTAGTCTAAGTTAATCTGAAAAACAGAAAGTGTTTCTCAGCTTTGAAGATAATTTTGGTTGATTGCGTCTGTTTGATTTTTTCTTTTTCCATCTTTGTGACGACCTCGTCACAAAATGACATAAAGAAACTGTGGCGTTTTGTTTTTGGCCGTTTTCAATAAGTTCGAAAAAAAAACTCGTCACAAAATGTAGCAGAGTAAATTTGACGGTGGATTTAGTTTTTTCAATTGAGTTTATTCTAAGTTAGTATGATAAACACTAATGGGTTTCTCAGCTTTGAAGATAATTTTGGTTGATTGCGTCTGTTTGGTTTTTTCTTTTTTCATCTTTGTGACGACCTCGTCACAAAATGACATAAAGAAACTGTGGCGTTATGTGTTTTCGGCAGTTTTTAAACAATTCGAAAGAAAACTCGTCGCAAAATGTAGCAGAGTAAATTTGACGGTAGATTTAGTTTTTTTTTAATGAATTTAGTCTAAGTTAATCTGAAAAACAGAAATGTGTTTCTCAGCTTTGAAGATAATTTTGGTTGATTGCGTCTGTTTGATTTTTTCTTTTTTCATCTTTGTGACGACCTCGTCACAAAATGACATAAAGAAACTGTGGCGTTATGTGTTTTCGGCCGTTTTTAACAGATTCGAAAAAAAACTCGTCACAAAATGTAGCAGAGTAAATTTGACGGTAGATTTAGTTTTTTTTTAATGAATTTAGTCTAAGTTAATCTGAAAAACAGAAATGTGTTTCTCAGCTTTGAAGATAATTTTCGTTGATTGCGTCTGTTTGATTTTTTCTTTTTTCATCTTTGTGACGACCTCGTCACAAAATGACATAAAGAAACTGTGGCGTTATGTGTTTTCGGCCGTTTTTAACAGATTCGAAAAAAAACTCGTCACGAATTGTTGCAGAATAAATTTGACGGTGGTTTAGTTTTTTTTAATTAAATTTAGTCTAAGTTAGTCTGATGAGCAGAAAAAACGCAAATTTTTCTTCACTCTGAAACTGTTTTAAAGTTTTTGGAAACTCAATCACAATCAAAAAGTTTCACAATTAAAATCCTACCGTAGGATTTTAATTGTGAAACTTTTTGATTTTGATTGAGTTCCCAAAAAATTTTAAAATACTTTCAGAGTCGAGAAAAGTTGGTCTGAATTTTTCTGTTTATCAGACTAACGTATACTAAATTTAATTAAAAAACTAAACCACTGTCAAATTTATTATGCTACATTTTGTACGATTCTTTAGCAGTACAATTTTTATTTCAAAAAAGCAAGAAATTTAGAAAACTTCATAGGCAAAATTGCAAAAACGTTCGGTTCAGACTGATGTGACATTGCCCATAAAAGACTATTAAACCTGCAATATGAATAAAATGAAATAACTTTTCCGGGATATAAATTTTGCAAACTCTCTGTTTGCTTTCTGGGGCTACTTTGGGCCGCTTCCCGGCCATATCTATGTTTTTCTTCAATTCATTCTCTTACATGTTGTCAGTCTATTCAATTTAGGGCCTAAATAAATGCTGGCCAATTTAATCAGATTCAAAACTCACTCTATCCATAAAGAGATAAGAGCAGACCAATGGGCGCCACACAGGTAGAGAGATTACGGAGTTTGATACTACTAGATGTAAAAAGATGCATTGTAAAAAGGGGTGCTAGGTAAATAAGACGACAAGACATTAAAACGACATGACATTAAGATGACAAATGATAGTTGAAACATATAAATTGAACAATTCGATTTCAAGCGAAACATTTTTCGCAGAAATTCAATAGGAGAATTTGCGTGTAGTGTCTTAAACGGTTGTCGTCTTAACAGCTGTCGTGTCTTATTTGGGGGACACGGAAAAAAGGCACATCATATGCTATATGCATACGTTCACTGAATGTGAATTAGTGTTTCTCCTTCAAAGGAAGCGAGAGGTGTTACCCTGAATGTGAAAAGCACCCTGGGCAATTCAAACTGTTTTCCCGCAACCCCCTAAGTCCACAATTTGTGTCTATTTCTCTTCCGATACGCATCAGACCGCCTTTTCTTTTTCCTTGTTGGAATGGGATAGTTGAGGTGTGCCTGTAAGCCTAAATTTACTGTTAGCCTAAATAGCTATACCTTGACAATAAAATTCTTAACTTTACTCAGTATCAAGTGTTAGAGACAGTCTGCTGAAAATTGTACTTGTTTACTGAAGAAAACAATTTTTTCTTGCTTTTTAAACCTCTTAGTATAATCTTTTTATCAATCATAGTTTTCGAAATGGAACCCAAGAAGATTTCTTTTTTAAAACCACCCTTTTTTGTTTCTCTTTTTTGGGTGAAGTTGAAAGTCGGCTGATTCTTTTTAGGGGGAGCTCACAGGCAAAATTTAATAAATTGGAAACTAATCTTTCGTTACCGTATGCCCCAAAGTACTCTCAAATTACTTCAAATTAAATTTTGACTATTAGACCTACACAAACAGATCTTTTCAGTCTCCTCCAAATGATCGATTAAATTACCGAGGGTAGATTTACTTTTGCAACATTTATTTTGAAAAAGGTAGGAGCTCCAACGCGGCGATTTATTATTTTCGCATCAGTTTTTGTAGTGGACTTTTTTAGTTCAGCGCGTTCAGCGCAGTCCTTTTGTAATCAGACCATTTCTTCCAGCTCTGTGATTTTCATACCACTTTTCATTCATTTGATAACACAAATCTCCAGACCAAAACAACGAAAAACCCGCAGGTGTAACAATATAGCTATGATAACAAGGTCGGTTGCTCCATAATCTATTTTTCCGAGCGTACAACAGGATTATTGAAACAATATCAGAACGAGTTTGTGCAGGTTTATCAAACCTTTCTCAGTGAAAACATTCGAACACCAGCCAAAAATTAAAACCAATAGTGCAGTGCGCTTATATGTGAATATGCTTTTATGTCTGTAAGTTAAAAAAAGGCGCGATACTTTTTTCATATTTAGTTGTTTTTTGTTCATCAAGTCATCCGTTTTTTAGCGTGAACTAGTGCGTGTTTTTTAGCATGATCACGTATGAATTGGTCATATCGACTGTAAATCACTCCCTTACCTTTATTGTGGCATTTTTTCAGTGGTTGAGCTGTAATTTTATCTCGCATTTCCCTTTTCTATTGTCTTCCCCATCGCTTTGAATTGCATCGTAGTACTAAATGAATATTTTCCTGTATCTGTATCTCTGACAGTTCAAATGGGAGGAGGTAGGGGAGAGGGCTTGTGGTTGCGCTTTTTTTATCTCACAGATCCAACGAAGAATGTCTTAATGCATTTTTGATCTATTTTGGTCTCTTCAAAACATTTTACTATAGTTAATTGAGCTCAACATCCCTCCTTATTTGCATTTCTAAATACCAACCTAGATGCAAAAAAGCAGGTTATTTTATCAATTTGGTACGAACTGTATTAAATTGACAGCAAATCTTGAATTTGCGAAACCGTTGTGACATTTTGAGTAGCTAAATTTGTGTCACCATTATTTCAGGTCTTCTTCCTATGTTCTGTCTTTTTTAGGAGAAATTTACGTAGAAATTCTGAAACTGACGCCACCAAAAGTGAAAATTTGGTTAGCTTTGCAGTCAAGTTGAGCTATTTTAATTCCTTCGTACACTTCACCTCCCATTTTTAGCTAATTTATTTGCCCCTCTCTCTTCGCGTCTGCCCTCTGTCGCCAAATATTCGACCATAGCCTGTTGCCTTTTTTCTGACATTTCCGCAGGTAACCTCTCAAAATACAAGCGTTCACATCTATTAGGCTTTTAACAAAAAAATCTCTTAGCTCCAAATTTTTCCAAGTGACATTCTTAATGTAGCTATGTCATTTTTCAGACGTGATATAAACTATTTGTGACTAACTATCATCAAAAACCAAAAACGTTCTGTCGCTAAACGCATCTAAAATTTCGAAAAGCAATTTATTAAAAAGCTCTTTTATTGTTAATTACTAGCAACCATTATTTTTTTCCATGCAACGAGTTACCATACTTTTAACTCCTGTGACGTTTTTTTTGTAGCAATATAAGGAACTATTATCTTAGAGATGTGACACGTTTTAAGAAATTGCTTCATGCTTTGAGGGCGCGATTTGTTCCTCTTAGCACTGTCTCAAAATATTTGCCTACTCTCATCAATCTTTTAAAAAGCTTTTATGTGGAATAAGCAGTTACAACCCGCTACCGACGTCACACGTCTTTTTACAAATTTTCCTTCTCTTTTTTCTTTCTCTCTGCGCTCTCTAAAATACTCCCAAGTGACCATTTTACAAGCGAGATGGTTCGAAAAATTATGACTTCACTTTTATTCCATTGTTGCCCTCAGCTCGAGCCAATCCCGTAGGGCCTGCGCAGTAATCAAGCGGAGCAAGGATTCTGCGTACTTAACCGTTTCCAATCATATCTATAGACGAAAAAAATTGCATTTAAAAAGGTTATAAAATATATCCAAACAGTTCGCTTGACCATTTGATGAAATAAATGACCAATCTTTCTCTTTTAATGAAGCTCCGAGAAAACTGAATGAACCTTTCATATTGGCTTTTTTCATAATTACTACAATAACCTTGTTTCAGGCAAAAAAGTAATTTCCAACTTCTCTTGATCGATACTCCAATTTTTGAGTTAGTTATTTCATATATGGTTTTCAAAAATCAATTCTAATTTTCAATTACTTTTTCTTGCTGCGAATTAATTTTTAATTTATTTTTTCTTCCCTTAGAAAATTGTGCAATCTTCAAATTTGATCGACTTTTCTTCGGAGTTTATTAAACTCTTCTCTCCGCCTTTATATCTCAATTTGCTGACATTTTCCAATCATTCATAAATCAACTAATTGGCTGCAATTAGGTTAGTAGGTAGCATCTAACATGGCTGCGACAAAACAGTTTTTCAACAAAATTATGGATTCTGATGTTGTTAAAACTGTTCGCAAAAAATCGCAAGGAAACCAGTCGCAAATAAGTGATACTAGTGAAACATATTCGGTTATTGCCACGGAAATTACGAAATCACCAGAAGAAAAAATAATCGAGCTATATGATACATTCCTGGAACAGGCACCTGAAAATCCACAAAAACTGAAGGCTAAGTTCGATGATTTCGGCTTTATAGTCTTCGGCCGAGCAAGTACAACAAGCAGCGACTCGGGAGATTTCAAAGACAAAGATCAGAAACGATACAAAAAAATGAGTGCCAAATTATCCAAGATAAAAAACAAATCGCCCGATAGTAGACTAAGCATGAGTGAGAAAATTAGGTCAAGCAAGAAGTTCAAAAAATGGAGCTACAAGGGTTTTCCGTTGGACCTACGAGACGAAATATACTCTTCATTAGCTAGCTCGTACTGTACGAACGAATCATCAGACGTGTACGAGACGATGGTATCATTCGGCCGAAAAAACTCGACGTTCATTAGGCAGATTGACGCGGATATCCATCGAACACTACGTAAACATTCGTTCTACTCGGAGCGATACAGTACAAAACAAAAACATCTTTTCAACATTCTCGTTGCGTATTCGGTTTTCAACCCTCAAATTGGCTATTGTCAAGGCCTTAATTTAATAGCTGCCATTCTGCTCATCTATATCAAAAATGAACCCAAAACGTTCTGGGCTCTTCATTGGATTTTGGTTGACCCTTTGAACTCTCATTTTGGATTCATGTGTCCAGGGTTCCCGAAATACCAGTGCTTCGAAGACCATTTTCGAAACATCTTACGGCTTCAGTTAAATGATGTCTACGAGAACTTTGAACTGCAAAACATCCCTTATTCGGCGTTTTTGCCCAAGTGGTTTTTCCTACTTTTCCTCGAGGCTTTGCCATTTGCTGAATCGATTCGTGTGTTTGATATTTTCATGTTTAGAGGCCAAATTGCACTAATTCCTTTCGCCATTACCATTATGCAATATTACAGAAAACACCTAGCTAAATTATCAATGGAAAATGTAATTACTTTTATACTAGATGCTGTCCCTTCTGACATTTACGTGGAGCGAGATAAATTGTTTTCCGACTTCAAGAAGATTTTCAAGAAGTTCAAAAAACTGGGTCTGTGTTTGCCGCCGGCAGTTGAACGGCATAATGTTGATATCGATTATGAGTTTGGGCGAGACGCTTTGCGAGAAATCGAGTGTGAAAAAGAGAGCAGAAGTCTTGAAAAAGAGATTGTCGGTTCTAGTAATGAGTTGCTCATCGTCACTGAGGTTCCTGTGATCGAAATCGATTCGTTAGAGGAATCGGACGCAAAGTCCGAACAGAAGCCGGAGTGGCAAAAATTTCCAGAAGCGCCAGAAAAGGGTTCAAGCTGTCATCTTGAAGAAGACAGAGAATCGGCCATCTCCGGAACGTCATCTGCAGTTTCAGTTACGTCAGAGAAAACAAACATTTCTGAAAAGATCGCCCAAAAAATGCCCGAATTGATTAAATTTAAAGACGCAAAACAGTCTTTACAAACAGGTTTTAAACGAACTTTTGAAAAACCAGCCGGTCTCTCGAAAATTTTGACTCATGCATTTGCTACTTCAAGACCAAAAGAAATCGAATCAAGGGTATATTATAATGAATCGAAACTTCAGGATTCTAAAAGCATATCTAACCAAAGTATAGACGTCAGGCATCATTATCCAAGCAGGTCCGATAGTCGAGAAGACAGCGTTGACTTATTTGATTCTGTGAATAAAATGCTGCTTCATGAAATACAAGCGGCAGGACTTAAAAAACGCGGAGCTAAGAGTAACTTAAACGTCAGAAAATTGTCCAATAGCTCTTCACATAAATCGCTTGAAACTCCTTCCAGCGGATTCCAGCGATCAATGAGCGACGCAGTTTTGAAAATGACTGAAACTGAAATTATTATCCAGTTTATTGAACATGAAAACAAAAACAACTCTGATCAGCATCTTGCGAGTCCTTTACGTTGTTCGGAAGAAAATGCACCTAGTGAACAAATTTTTGCCGAGAAAAATGACAAGAAAGAAGTATTATTGAAGAAAGAATCTTTCAATGACGCCGTTATTACTCTGGTTAAAAACCAGAGCCCAAAAGAAGTTAAATTCAAAAGTATTTTGAACGATTGCAGTCCAAATGTTAAAAAGTTGAGCCTTTTGAGGAGTTTCCAGGCAACAAAAGACCATTTCATGAATTATTCTGAAGACGTTTGCTCAGTTAGAAAGTTCAAAATTCCTCAAACTCTCTCGCCTCATTCAAATGAAATGGTGAAAAAGATCATATCTAAAACTATTTCTAACGGTCAAAACGCAAAAAAAATTGAAGCGGGTTTTGACAATCCGAAAATGGCCGACAATGCTCTCCCAGTTTTAAATGACGAAAACTATGTGAGAGAAAAACTTGTCAACTCATCAAACTCAAATCAATTCAACGAAGCAACAGCCAACGTTTCCTACGCCCCAGTTGAAACGGATGAAGAAGAACCAGCGTTTGCCGGCGTTTTTCAAGGTGAACAAATTTCGCACATTACGCAAGATGTTGAAATTGAGCATACAGTTAAAAAAGTTGTGATATCAAAAGATGATTTAGTCGATGGAGAAACTTCAGACCTAATTGCTGAAAAAACAAGCATATCGAAAGTCATCCCCAATACAGACACACATATTGAAAGCCAAAGAACAAAAAACTGTGAGAACGAACACGAAACAAAAATTGTAAGGCCAAAAGCAGACGACACCGTTGATATAAACTCATGTTCCGACGGATCTGATCAGACCAAGCTGGAAAAATGAGCGCACTTATAAAAACGGACAATATAATATATCTCTAGTAACCATCCATGTTAGATGTCGAAAATCGTATACTGCATTCAGGGGCGGATCTAGGATTTTCTCGAGGAGGGGGGGGGGGGGGGGGGGGGGGGTTTGCGGATTTCGAAAAAATTTTCGAAAATTTTGTCGACCTTTTTTTTAGGTCGACCGAATTGACTTTTCGAGCACGGTTTAATCCTCCCTGTTTTGGCCAAATTTTCTGCGCCGCAGGCAAAATTTTAAAAAAAAAAACAGTCCAAAAAGGCGTTTTTAGGCATCGCATTTTTTCGGCGCGCGCTCCCTCCCCCTCCCTCAAAATTAGTATATATTGGCACCAAAGGCGCCTTTAGAAAAATTTTAGGGTCGGTCGGCCAAAAATAGAGTTCTTAAAAATTTAAAAAGTTCCATAAGGGGGACCGTTTGGGTCGGCAGGGGGTCGAATCCTTAAAAAGAGGCGTCCGCCCCTCCCCTAAATCCGCCCCTGACTTCATTCAATTTATACTGATGTTGAAATTTTTTTAAATGGTGCTAATGTTTCTGCAACAAAAAATAAACTATAGTCTGTAAACTTATGCCTATTGAGCAGCAAAAGTTTTCATGTCGAGGACAAAATATCAAATAAGGCTATGCAATGCAGCCTTTTTCAAAATCGATGCGATGACGATGCGATGCGGAAAATTTCATCGAAATTCGATGAATTTTCGATGCGATGCAAAATTTGAAACAGAGAAACAAAATTTTATTTTAAGTTCACATGCAAGAAAAGTAGCATACGAAAATTTACAGGGGATAGTGTTTGTCGTGCTGACGTTACTATGTTACCCGACTCAGACCATACTCTCTCGCTGGGAACAGCAGTTCCAGGAATACACAGTAAATTTTCTGCGGGTTTGGGAAATATTGGAAATTTTTCTCCATCCAATTTTTTGTTTTCGTATAATCTTTGAAAAGTTGTGGATACCTACGTTCCAGGTGAGCCACTGCACTAGTTGTGCGAGATTGGACGCAAGAAAGCTCCAATTTACATGTATTGCACTCGCAAGTTTCTCCGGAAATTGACTTGATAAAATGACAAAAATTGCTAAGTTAGATGGTTCTTAGAGACGTTCTTAGTGACGTAATTAATGTGTAAACGCGTTATAGCTGCAGCGCATTTCTCAGAAAAACTTTTCTCAGTATACTAAATTTTTTTCCAAAATTAGGTCAAAACCTCTAACTAAACATAAATTTTCCTACATTGCTCGTTATTCAATCGTTTTTCTTGCTCGAAATTGAACTCTTCTTTGTTGACGCAGTTTTTTTGCGGTGTTTCGTTTTCATAAAATATTTTTGAAAGCTTGCAAAGTGTTCATTGCGTTTGTTTTCAATTAACTCTGAATTTTTGCTGAAATCTTCTTTGACTAGCCATTTTGTTCACATCAAGCCAATCCGAAATTGTCTGTGCTTTGTTTAGTTTGTGTATATGAAGCTGAAGGTTGCAAAACTTATTTTATGGACAGAAAAAAAGTAGAGTTATTTTCAAAATGTTTACCGAATTGTAGTCATCTTTACCCCTAAGAAACAATCCGTTAAGATGCCTTTATTTTTCAGTTTTTGCACCAATAGTTGTTTTGACAACTCTTTTAATGACAAACTTTGGTCACTTTTACATGCAAAAAATAGTTATAAAAGTTCTATGAAAAGACTAACTTTTCTCAACAAAAGTCAAATAAGCCTGCACTTGATACTCTTGGGCGTCTTCCATTCAATTTTTTGCTTAATTAACTCAGTTTCAATCAAGAAAAGTCTTAAACAAAATCAAAACACCTTTTTTTGAACTCCAAACACTTCAAGGAAATTTTGAAATTACTATAAATTCATACTTTTTTTCATCTACGTGCATCGTCAATATAAATATAATGAACTAATCTATTTGCAAATTAAGCATTATTATACGAAAAGATTTAGATAAAAATATCAATCCAAACCATCAATTTAGGAAATCAGCCGTTAACAATTCACCTTTTTTTGTTAACTACAAGTACATTTTACTTCTAAAAATAGTTGAAAACTGGAGTAGTTTTTTATGGGCAATTGTGAGTCAATTTTCTTTGTTTAGACATGTGTACTTTCAAATAAGAACCAGAATAATGTGGTAGTAAACAATTGGTGTTAACTTCAGGCTACAAAAATAACAAAATTCTTCTCTATATTCTGTTGAAGATGTAAAACGTATAGTGTGTAAAGTTAAATTGCAAAGCAACTGTTAGGCATCAAATCTAAATCTTACTGCACCGGTTTGTTTCAGTTCACGCTGGACGATAGAGATCACAAGGTCACAGAAGCAGGTCCCCAGACAGAAAGATAACAATGAATATAAACTTACATAAACTCAAACTGGTCCCTATATCATTCGGGCAACCACACAAAACTTTAAAAAGTCTAATTTTTGAATTGAAAATTTGTCACACTCATAATGTTTTGTACTTGCCAACCCTCTCCCTCGGTCCTTTTCGCTTTTAGTTTCTTTTCTGCTCATTTGGGCTCGATTTGCTGGATGACTACTCCTCCCATTTTATCCACACCCTTACGCACTCTGGTTGCTTCCTCGCTTACTTTCTTCCTTTTTCCGACAAATTTCGGTCCTGTCGCTGCTTCGCTCACCGCCGGTTTTTCGAGCCGTTCGCCTGGTTGTCTGATTTCGAAGGTTCCTTCGTTACTCCCGCTTCTTTGTCCGACTCAATCGCTTCCGCTGTGGTATCGCCTTTATCTCATTCGTTCGCTCGTTCTATCTCGTCCTCCTCGTCAGTTTCGTCATCGCTGCTTTCAAGCACGCCTTTTGTTTCGCCTTAGGTCCTCTTCGACCATCGATGCACGTTTTGTCGCCGCTTTTGCTTTCTTCCTTTCCCCCGCATTTTTACTTCCTTCATGACGACTAGTCACCGGGGTGTTCGCTTCGTCCCCTTTTTAGCCTTTTCTTCGTCCGCTGCCGATCTAAATGAAACCCCACTTCTCCTAAGTAAAGCTCCTTTATTCAATTTCACCGCATGTTGCGTTAATTTTTCTATTGTCGATGTTAACCTTTATACCTTCTCGGGTCCTTGGGATCCGTTTTTCCAGTCCTTTGGTAGACTGTGGTGCTCGTTTTTTCGTTCGTAATTACAACAATTATGTATTTCGTTCGAAACGAATCCTGTTGCCTGATCCATATGCAATTACTTAGGGTGACCGTGCGTATTTATGCAAGAATTTTAACAAGTTTTTGGATTTATTGCTGGAACAAACGTATGCCGACGGCCAATGTGAGAACGCATCTACCGCTACTAGGACATATTTCTTTCGGTCCTGTACATAATTCACGGGGCTCCAAAAATCCAATTGTACTAGATCATTAGGTTCCCTAGGTACATAAGTATTTCCCATGTCATTTTTCGGAATGTCCGGTTTTAGGTTTTTACCTTCTTCTAGACAGCTTTTGCAGTATTTTGCCGTGGCCGCGAGATTTCTGTGCATTAGCGGACGCGATATCATTTCTCAAATTTGTAATGTTTATTTTCCCATAGGTACGTTAGGACAAAATTTTTAATTGAGCCAATGGTTCTTCCAACCATTCCTGTCGCACCGTGGTCCTACACTGGGGTATTTATTAATTCTATTCCCTCGTAATTACAAAAATTATGTATTTCGTTCGAAACGAATCCTGTTGCCTAATCCATATGCAATTTCCTCGGGTGACCGTGCGTATATGTGAGAATTTTAACAAGTTTTCGGATTTATTGCTGGAACAAACGTATGCCGACGGCCAATGTGAGAACGTATCTACCGCTACTAGGACATATTTCTTTCGGTCCTGTACATAATTCACAGGGCTCCAAAAATCCAATTGTACTAAATCATTAGGTTCCCTAGGTACATAAGTATTTCCCATGTCATTTTTCGGAATGTCCGGTTTTAGATTTTTACCTGCTTCTAGACAGCTTTTGCAGTATTTTGCCGTGGCCGCGAGATTTCTGTGCATTAGCGGAATCCAGACATCCTTCGCCGGTCTCGCCCGTGGTGGTTTTCTCGCCCGTTTGTCTCGCCCGTAGTGATTGTTGTGCAATCTGTTTAGTACTGATGTTGACATATCCTTCGGCATGGCTAGCCGGCCATCCATCCATAGGCAGTTCTCCCGCACGGCGTAGTCGTTAAAGTGTTGAGCATAGTACTGTCCCATCCTGGTAATAATTTGTTTACCTCTAGGGTGTTTATCCCGCATGGCATCTCGGATTGTCTTCAGGATTGGGTCCTTCTCCAAATTAGCTTCAACTAACTTTAATCTGAGAATTTTCGGGTAAGCAATCTTTTTAACAACTCTGCTATCACTAGGAATGACTGAGTAAATCCATTTCTCGTTATTTACAAGGGGGTATGATAACGCGGGGAATTGATGGGGAATAAAATCAATGTGTTTAGTTTTTTTGACGAATTGCTTTTTGGGATTAATTTGTCTGGCGGTATCACTTCAATATCGGAATCTGAGCTTACATTCGGCGGCTGGTCTTGTACTCTATTTACAACTAAGTTAAGGTTTATAATTCCAGTTTGGGTAGAAGTATTCACTATAATCGATGTAGTTTCGGATCTTGTTTTTCAGGAGAGTTACTCGATGACATGTTATGATATGAATTTTGATTGAGAAGATAGCTTGACTTTACAAACTGAGAACAAAGTCTGATTTTCTTGTTTCGTAACTTATATATTTCCGTCGGTATGCAAATATGCGCTCTCTGATTGGCTAACCGCTGGTTGCATGTCACTACGCCCTCTAGTGAGCGCTTTCGCTCACGATTATTATACGCATACTTAAGTGTTTTCGGCGTTTTTTTGGCTACATTAATGCGCATTGAGTACAAACATGCTTTTCCGCCCTCATCGTCGGTTTTTTCTGAATTTGATTTACTTGACCCCTAGGAATTTTTTCGTCCCTAGGTTTTAATGCATCATTTATCATTTGCAATTTTTCGACCGTAAAACTTTCATTGTAGTAGCTTATTTCTGGCGCCGCTGCAGACGGGAAACGCGACAAGTAGTCTGCCATTCCAATTTTTGACCCTTGCCC